CCAGCCTGTCCTTCTGCCCTGGGCTACCGGGACCTGGGACCGTACTCCTTCAAAACTCGCGGCATCATCTGGAAGCGCCCCACGGTAAGAGTGCTTTATAACTGCCTGTTTTACTGGGTTCACATCTAATCAAAGCTCACCTGAACATCCATACTAAATCAGTGGTGAGCCTGAATATCCACTATTCCTGTACTTTTTGATTTCTTTTCTTCTGTCTTGCTTTACCTGAGTGGTTAGCAGAAACAAGGTTGAAATGGGGGTAGGAGGAAGAAATCGACATCTTCTAAGCCCTTTATAAAGCAAGGAAACCTCTAATTGCTTCATGGGAACCTGCTTCCTCCCAGCTCCACAGAGCAACAACTCCAGGGTACAATGCAGAGATGGATGCAAAAGCCCCACATGTACCCAGACAGAGCACAGGGCACCCCAGGAACTACTGACCATCAATTGTAATGGTACCCACACCATGGTCCTGCCACGGTGCACCCCAGGAAATCAGGTAAACAAATAAAATCCTCTACCTCTCTTCAAGCTACCTACAACAGTTAAAGAGCAACTGACTGGAGCTGTCATTACCCAAATACATATATCCTATAAATGGCCTTTCATTTTGAAATGGTCATTTTCGTCAGGAAAGATTAGATGCTGATATTTTTTTTTTTTAAAACCACAAAATCAGTGCTTCAGAGATTTTTCTGCACTTTCATTTTACAGTCATTTTTTCTGTCCCTACTTTGCTCCTCCTTTGCCATTTTGCAACATCAAGAACAACTGAAAAAAGGAGAAGGAAGGAAAAAACCCGAAAAACTTCCCTTCCTCTGATGGGGGAAAGGAGAATAATTCTCTTTATTCACTTGAAAAATGAAAAATGGAAGCTTGCAGGTTTAATAACTCCAAGTTTCTATCCTGGCAACCCCCTTTGTCCATCAGTACTTTGCTCTGGCACCAGGATGTTTCAGCAACAAGCACCATGGAAGCATCTCTTGGCTTTGCCTACCCTGGGAGAAGACCAGCTGTTGGAAACTCATTAAATTATGCTTTGGTTCCTCATGCAAGAGCAATGTTGTGCCTGCTGCAGGCAGAGACACCATCACAAGTGTAGTGTGGTCAGGAATGACTGAGGGCTGAGATCCAGCAGGGTTAAATGTCCCAGTGCTTTCTGCGAGAGACCTGCCCGTGTGGGACCCCTCTGCCCTCACGGCCCTCAGCAGAGACATGACCAGTTTATGGACACTTAATCCACAAGTACTGGGACCCACTGGCTTATCCCTATGCACGGGGCAGAGCCCAACCCCTGCTGCAAGGTGACACAAACCCTCTGCTTTGCTCTCCTATGGAGAGACCTGGATCTGACCTACTTTTCCATGTTGCAGATGACTCCTGTTGGAGGTCACAGCCCTGCTCAGGTCTTGGACTTTTTCAACCGGCCAACAGGTTTCCATCTGCAAACTCTGCACGCAATTGCATGCCGATGGGGTCCCTGGTCACTTACATGCCTGCGCCTGGAACAGGCAGCAGGACTCGGTGGGCAATCTGGAGAACACCTGCTAGAGAAACTCCCCCTGCAAGATACATATCCACTGTTAAGGTCATCTCCCCCAGGCTGCTACTGCTGGTGTGCAGAGAGTGTGTGTTTTAAGCACTATGCCATCAGAGACTTATCTTCTGATTTCAACAGTGAACAGGTTTATAGAAAGAGAGAAGGTGGAAGTGCAGTTGTGCCAAAGGTGTACGTGGCACTTGGCAGTGGCTCAGAAAGGACAGGTGTCTGGGTGAGTAACAAGTCATACGCAGCTGACTGTCACTGGGTGCACCGCTGTGGAGGGAGGAGAGAAAAACCGACACAAAACATTTGCTGTGTGGTGGGTAACCTACTCCTGACGCCTATCCACCAAGACAGCTACAAGGCAGCTGACCAGCTGGATAACCACAGAAGCAAAAAGGATGTATCTGAGATCACATCTATTGCAAGAAGAGATTCACAAACTGGCTCTTGACCACACACACACACGAAGTCCTGGGTTGTCCCTGTCTCCAGGGGATGCTCAGACCTGACACCTGCTGCTCCCTGGGACAGCTGGTGGCTGCCTAAGCCTTCCCTAACCTTGCTTTCCACATTAGGCTTCCTATAAACTGCCCCTTGCTGCCATCCAGAAGCTAATGACAAACGCTCGGGAGAAAGGGAAGGCTTTTGTCTCTAGAGAGACAATATTAACTTCCTAATATAGGGCAGGAACTGTTGGAGGGCTCAGGGTTGGGATAGGGGGGACAGCCATTGCCATAACCTACTTGGCCAGCCCCAAAGGGCCAGGAAGAAAGGGGGGTGGTGGTGGTGGTCACGTTTCTGTGGTTGGCCTCCCAGGAAATGGGCTGGGGGAACCTCCTCCATGCTGGTGGCAGTGGAAGCTCAACACAGCTCCAGTGCCAGCAGCCACCGTCACAAACTTGTTTGCACTGCTTGAGCCAAAACCACAGTGAGATAAAATAAGATGTAAATGCTGAGGTTGAATTTTCACCTCTGTCCTCACAAATTCACACTAATATCACTGATGGTCTCCAGTAGCAAAAGACCTCAGGATTTGCCTCAAAAAAATACATGCAGTCTTCAATTTAATAAGGCAACATTGTTCTGACACCATGTTAATCAGACAGAGGACAAAGGATATTTTTAAGAAGTGCTGAAAATGTTTAATATATTTTGAACATTGAAACAAGGAACAAGAAACAGTAACTTTTCAGACCAGAAAGGGTGATGCATACTTTGAAAAATGTGTCTTTTCAGGAGTTATGTGCCAACCCTCAGTTTATAATTGGAGGAGCTACTCGAACAGATGTCTGCCAAGGAGAGCTGGGTACGTACGGCACTTTAGAATTTCATTTTGGAGAAAAAAAAAAAGGGAGCTTCATTTAAAAACTCCTCATACATAGACCATTTTATTGGCGCTCTCCCAGGCATAGTATGGAGAGAGGCAGACACGCAAGGAGGGGACTCGCACCAGCATTGCTGCCTGAGACAGGGTGTATATGGGCTTGTAAGAGCTACGTCAAACCTGGGAGACTCCAAAGTGTCTCCTGAAGGTACGAAACTAATTATCCTTTTGTGGAGCCAGAAGACTGGCTTGCTTTTCACCTCTTGAGACAGAGCTAGATACCAACCTAATCATGAGAGAACTTTCCCTGAAGCAAGAGAGTGGGCTTCATGTCCATCACAGCAAGAGCAGCTCCATAGACTGAGGGGACAAGGGACACCAGGAGAGTTTCACCCTGTAGCCTAGTCATTAGGGATTTTTCTTTGGGAGGCAGAGCAAGTTCCAGCCTCAGTTTAACACAAAACAAATCCTCAGCCACCAAGGAGCAGAGCAGGACCTGGTTTAGTACAGGGGCTAGGGCCCCGACGTGCCACTTCATGCCAAGCAAGGTGGCCCATCTGCTTGCAGGCGTGAGTTAGAAACAAGGACCACATGATAAAAAAAAATGATTGGAACACAAACTTTGTAGTACCATCCACAGCAAGCAAATTGTTCAAGCCCTTCATGCTGAATGCTCCTCCTGCTCGTACAGCGTTGGGTGTCGAGCTGCGAGCAGGGACAGGAGCGAGCAGGTACCGGACACCCTCTGCAAACACAGCCAAAAGAGGCAGTGCTGCTCAGCTCCCCAAATTAAGGCCTGACGAGATGTCTCTCAGACAGCACGCATCCCCTCCTACAGATCCATCATAGAAAAAGCTTTCTTGCCCACTTTTCCCCAACACTTGCCGTTGTCTAAACGGAGCTCCTACGTGAGCGGCCAGAAGGGAGCTGTAAGGGGGCTTTGTCCCCCTTCGAACAGCTGCTGCAGCAGTCGCCTTCCCTGCCGGCCTCGCTGATAAGATCCAGCTCCAGAAGACAGCAGCAGCAACCCCTCCTGACTACATGTAGAGATGAGAAGGCTGAAACTCTTGTAATGAGAATTTGATAGATTAGACACAGAGAAATCAGCCTTTCTCCCTCCTGTGCTGCTTACTGCAGTATTCCTGACCTAACTGGTCTTCCAGCCCATCCATTGTGCAAATGAGATTCAAACAATTTCTGCAAGTCATTGGCAATAAATAATACCAATACTGGTCCTGTAAACACAGCACCATTAAAGCAATTGCTAAAAAATTCCCTGGTGTGTGGGCCTGTGCTCCAAATGCTAAAAATAAGATGCCAAATCATACACTTGCTCCAGGATATTTATTCGGTGGATGCTGGAACGGAGTATGGGGAAATCACTTACTGTATTTTAGGAGAATGGTTCAGATAAGTAATAAAAGCGACATTTCTTGTCACCTCCAATTTGGGGAGTTTCTATAATAGCATAAATAAAAAAAGATCATATGCCTGAAGTAAAACCTCATTTTCCTTGACAGTTTACAAGCTAAAGGACTGAAGAATATTACCTGCTCTTAAACTAGAAGAGGTCAATGCATTATTTGTGTTAAGGCTAGAAACTGAATGCAAATACCCTGAGACCCTTTTTATTTCTGTCACCTCCTGCATGTCTCTGTGGAGTCCCAATCCTTTGTGCGACATGGGCTTTCATTAGAGAGCAGTGCCAAAATCCATTAAATAGTGATAACAACAGAACTGAACCCCAAAACCTCCTGTGAATCTGGGGATGGTGCCTCCCTCCCAGCTTTCCCAAGCCAGCCTTTGGTGGACAGTACCCCAAGTGCTAGTCCTGAAAGCTACCCCTAAACCTAGAAGAAAAGCCCCAAAATCCAATTCTGCTTTTGTTAGGAGCTTCCTTGTCTCTGTCTCTCAAAAAAAGATAAAATAATCAAAGATAATCCAATTTGTTTCTGCAAGGCTGCTTACAATCGCTTCTACACACACTGACCCTTCACAAAACTAAACTTCAGAATATAGGCATGGGAATTCCCTTCCAGTGTTCAGATATTTGCTTTACATCTCTGAGGCATATTATGCCTTTTTGGTATTTGATCCAATACCTCAAATATCAAAGTCCTTGTTACTAAAGCCCTCATGTAAAACACTTCTATTGAAAGAGACCCTGATTACATATTTACATAAGCCATGTATGTGACCTGTTAACAAGTCCTTTAGGGAAATAGAGGCTATTTTTAATAATCTTTTCTGACATGTTTCTTTTCTTTTAGAAATAACACAGCAGGTCTGGGTTTATATGAACAAAAGGAACAAGAAAACCCAGAGTTAGTCTCACTCCATTAAACTTATTTTTTTGACAACAGCGTAAGCTAGATGAATATCAGCTTGGGAAGTTTGATGGGAACTTGAAAGACTTGCAATATTTTAAACGTTCTTTGAACCATATCTTTTTGATAGCCTAGTAACAACTTGAAATGCAGTCACATAGTCTTGGTTATTAAAGGTGACTTATGAAGTTCTCTTGCAGCTCTCTGAATAAGTTAACCCCAGAACTGTTTGCAGGAAGTCTTAAGAAGCAAGTGGCATAAATTTAATTCAAATAATATAAAACATACTCAAACCCTCTTAGTTTAATATTAGCTTTCCAGATCCGCACCATTTGTAATCATGGGGCGCCTTTTGTTCTGAAGGCTCAGAGGGTATTCCAGGCACTGCAGCTCCCTTGGCTGGGGCTGTCAGCTGGAGAAGTTCTCTGAAGCCAATGCAGATACATCAGTTCACACCAGCTAAGGAGTTCACCCCACGCATGCTTTGTGCATGTCATCTTACAGGCAGATTTGAGAAGATTACGGGTAAACTGGAGAACAAACCAAAGCCTGACAGCTCTGAGAGAGATCTGATACTTATTGAGGGAACCTTTGGAGCTCCTATGGGCAAGAGAGTGCTTAATAGTTCTGGGTTTGTTCACTTATTTTGCTATAGACATTAATATATAGCCCTTCTGATGTTCAGTCCCATGGGCATTGGAGATCCTTGTTCTAGCAGATACATCCCCTAGATCTCAAAAAATACATTTACTGACAACTCTGAGACCTCAAAGAGAAGAAAGCCTCTTCCTTTGCTGGGTGCTCCTTTGCCTTTCTGTACACAGCTGCAGAACTTAATTCATTTCCACAGAAAAGTTTAGGAAGCCTTCTTTAGAAATCTCAAAGCAGGAACAGCCTGCACTGCCAGAAATTATAATGCTAGCGGGTCAGTGCTTCCTTGAAGTCTGGTAGGATGCCCCAGGTACTACAAGTTCTGAAGAAGGGCTTCCAGCAGAGACTAAAGCCGAAAGTCAAATCTGCTTGACAAACAGGGAAGCAAGAGCCACAGCACTGTATCTGGATCCCTTCTGAGCACCAGGCACTGCTGAAATAGCAATGAGCCGGAGCACAGTTAGGACAGAAATGCCTCTGTACCGTCCAGTTGGATCTTGGACTTTTGGCTTAAACTCACCATCAGGAGGTCAATGAGGAGTTTAGCTGCTCTGCGTCTAGACACTTTGATGGTAGCTAGACAGAAACTGAGCACAGCTCTGTAGCAACTGAAACTAATCAAATTTCTCATTTATTTTATGGCCTCTGTGAGTGCAGCGTGCTTGGGTAAACATCATCAATATAGAGGAGTCGCTCAGCTCCCAGGTCACCAAGGATTCAGTATTCTCTGCAGCAATTCGATTATCTCTGTAAAGCAGGAGGTGCCTGCGTAGCACTGAGAACACGAGCCATCTCAGTACATCTGTGAGCAGCGAGTGATTTTATTTCAAGAACACTAATAGTCAAAGTAATTCTCCAAGATCATATATACACACACACAGAGCTAGGCACAGCTAAGTTTCATGTTTACCCTTTCCACCACAAACTCAAGGTCAGAATTGTTTATTTCAAATTAAAATAAAAACAACCAAAAACTAATTGGGCTTTACCAACATTACAGATTACTTCAGATCCAGGAATCAAGCTGGCTTCTTTTTAACACGTTCAGCAGCAGCAGTAAACACCAGAATTGGCACTTGTCGGAAACTTTTGTTCATGAAATATGAGACTGAACAGAGAGCAGAGTATGTGCCTGTAGGTGATTTAGCCTTGAAGGGCTAACGCTGAGAAGACTATTTATATAAGCTAAAAGGCTGCAACTTCAAATGCATGCAGTGAGCAGAAATGCTTTTTGATATTGTCATTTTTCTGACTGTAACCGTATTGGAAATACATTCTGATTAAATATTTAATTCATTGGCCATCAACCTCACTTCCTCTCCTTCCAAAAATTCACTTTTTAGGAAGGGAATCAAATAGTTTCCTCACAGTTTGAGAGACAACTTATAACCTGCAGCTGAATCAGGACAAGTTTTAGGGGTCCTACCTAAGCTGCCTTGTGCTTGGGAAAATGTGCTACTGCACTATGTTATAGGCACAATCACAAATAAAACTCTGAAATTTGCTTCCAGCAAAATGATGTTGAACTTTGAGAAAAGGAATGTGTACTGTCAACTTGTACTTTTTTAGAACTGGTAGCATATTATCCAGTATGGCCGAGAAACCTTAGTAATAGGCCAGGATCCCATTGTGGTGTGCAAGAAGATAAGAGGCAACCTGTGCAGTTTAGGCTCCATCCTGGAAGCTCCTTGGTATGGACAGATTCCTCCACCCTCTTTAGTTTGTCTTAAAGCCAATATCATGGGCACTTGAATGTAATGCATCACTTGTATACAAAGATGGCCCCAAACCATCTGCATCTAGACACCTCATGCAAACCTTCCTTTTTATCAAATCAGTGCACAGCAGCCAATTCCCAGCTGGTTTCTTTCGGAGGGCACAAATATTTGTTCAGCCACAAGCTTAGCCAAATATATTTAGGCCTCCAAGTAAGGTTTAGAGGCAGGACTCTGCATTGCTCAAGGCAAGCATAGCTATTTTTTAAGGCCAAGTTCCCCACTGCAATTCTTCCAATACAATTCTTTCCACTCGTGCTTTAAGCGGACTTGCACCTAACGCTTCCCCAGGAGGTTAGATTGCATGGTGCATTTGCAGGAGGCAGAAGTGCCAATGCCACTCACTCTCCCAGATGCTAAGAAGTTAATTCATACCGTAAGATAGCTGTAAAGGATTTCACGCTGCATTTGGCATGTTATGGGGATGAGATTCTGAAATTGTTTAGTTCTGAGTCAGGGAAATAAATAACGTATATAAGGAAACCCCTCTCATTTCACTGATTCTTCTGCCTAATTGCACATCAAACATACACCATCCTCAGCAAAGCCTGGAGTAGTTTCCCCTCTGCTGGCTCTAAAAACCTGGTCTGGACCAGGAAGGGGAAACATTTTCAGGTGTTGCACATTGGGAGAGCACCAGCTCATCACTGCTGCAGATCTTCTCTGGTCTCACTGGGAGTGGAGGCACACAAGAGGGATATCAGCACCCCCACCCTGCCACTTTCTCAGAAATAATCTTTGGTGCTTCACTGCATGCCAGGAACTGCCAGGGCAGCAAGAAAATCTGGGGCAGTTGAAAAAAATGAGGGCTTCAGTTCTAACTTCATAAGGCTTTTCACTTTCCTTCTCTGAAGAGCCATTCCCCAGACTTATCACCATTATTTCTACCTTTCCAAGCAAAAGCAGAAGTTATAACAGCATAAGGCATAAACCTGTACTAAGGAGGGCCTTAAAGAAATAGGTACAAAGCAGGTCTGAGTGTTCTCAGTCTCATTTTCCCTGCATCTACATTTTCTTGGAAGAGGAAGTGCTTAAAGCCTTTTTTCCCCCTGCCTTGTGCTCTGCCAATTTTGCTTATTTTATACATAGGTACCTAAGGCTGGGAGGAACCTTCCAGGCCAGTGAGTTGAGCTCTCTCCCACAGAATGCAAAGTAATTTGTGAAAGAGCTAGATTGAAGACGAGCTTGAGAAGGTTTTTGCTCATAGTTGTTCTAGAGGCTGAGGCTTTTGGACTCTCTCTTCTATATGCACAGCAGCAACTTCTCCCTATTTCCAGTTTAAACATCTCACAACCCTTTTATTGTAATTTATCTCCTCTTCTGCAAGGGAAATCTTCCCTTTCAAGTAAGAGCTCTTGGCTCAAACAGCCTTTCTGCAAAGTAGCATTTAACCTGCCTCACATTTCCTCTTCAAACTTCACTCATGTAGGATGAAGAGGACAAGCTTTTTTTAACCTCTTCTCATAAGAAAGGCAGGTGGAGGGGGAGAAGCAGATAATCCAGCTGTTTTCTACCCCCTTCCAGCTTGAATGCTTTTTCCTGAACACAGCAGTCAGGGTGACGCAAAATAATCTTGGGGAAGGCTCAAGCAGCATCTCACATACTAATACCAGGTTTATCCCTCCTCATTGGAAATGCCTGAGCTGGCACCCTGAGTGGGTCACACCTTTGCACCTGTGTCAGATCAGCCAGCTCAGGGGGTTACAGGTCATCACACCAGGGATACTTCTTCATGGGTGTTTCTCAAGTCATTGTTTGCCTAACTGAGAACAGCTGCTTGTTGCTCAGCTCATAGGAGGCACCTGGGTACCTCCCAGTGGGGTACAGACAGAGAGCACACAGCACCAGGCAAGTCAGTATCTTACCTGTATAGTTATATTCATCATGGCACTAAAGTATAAAGCCCAAGTCAACATAAAGAGTTAACTGCTGCCCTAAGGTATTAAATCATGCTACAGATTAAACTTTTTTCCTCAGTTTCTGTTAATTTATCTCCACTGAAGCAAGAACTGTTATGCCAATCCCTTCTGCAGAGTATGCACCTGCACAGAGAAACACGTTGTAGCACAGATAATTCACAGGGAACCAGGAAAACATTAGTACCTTCAGAGCAGCTTTGTTTTCCTAGGCTTTCTGCACACCTCAGAAATAACACAGAACCACAAAAGTTCTTCCTACTGTTTGCAGCATGCAAATACTGTGAGAAACCCACAAGTCACTGAGTTTCCCAGGGGCTCCACCTTCAGTGTGATAGAGGCTTCCGTTTACCCAACCTCCAATCCTGAAGAAGCAAGTAACCAAGCCAGCAAAGAGCTTGAGCTGCGAGACACCCAGCCAGGGCTAGGCACATCCATCCTTTCCAGGAGAAGGAGTGGGCCATAGAAAGGACTCACCTCATTGCAGAGTTCCCAGGAGACTTCAGCTTCCTCAGACTGATGGGCAAATCTGTAGCAATAGCCCTAAGGGCTGGTTCAAGTTCAGACCTTCAAAGAAAGGACTAAGAAGGAATAGCCACCCAAATGTTCCTGCTGTCCATCAAATGTTCCCCAAAAGATAGCAATGGAAGTCCCACCACCCTTCTATCAACTCAGAGCTTTTGCCCTCTTCTAAACACCTTTTAAGCCCTTGCCTCTCCCAGGTGTGGTGGCTCAGGTCTAGTTAAAGTACTGCTGGTCATTAACTCTGTACTGCCCAGCCAGGTTTTGTAACCTACATACCCCAAATGTCTTCCTCTCTGGCTGTGTTCTTGGTCTCCTGAGGGTGTTAACAAGCTTAGATAAAGCAACCAGCTTTCACAGCTTCATTAAAAAATCAGAATAGCGAAGTCCAAACCAGACCATTGAAATTACCACCATCCTCAGCTTCAGAGGCCCCAAGATACCTGTGTGGTCTGGGTGAGTGGAGAATGAGCAAAAGAGAAATAACACAACAATCAAAGAATGGACTG